CGCTCTTGCTCAGGCTGGTCTCGAACTCTTGAGCTCAAACAGTCCACCCGCCTTGGCCTCCCAGAGTGCTAGGATTACAGGCGTGAGCCACCGCGCCCGGCCAGGATATTTATATCTTTCTCAAGTTTTGGAAGGTTTTCTGTTACTTCTTTGACTAAGCTTTCTACCCCTTGCTCTTGCTCAGTTTCCTCTTGAACACTGATAATTTGTAGATTTTTGTCTTTTGAGCTAATTTTCTATATCTTGTAGGCAGTCTTTATTCCTCTTTTTTTTTCTTTTTTTCTTCTGCATATTTTCAGATAGCCAGCCTTCAAGCTTACTGATTCTTTTCTCAGTGTGGTTCATTCTGCTGTTGGGCACCTCTAAAGAGTCCTTCAGTTCAGCAAATATATTTCTAAGTTCCAGGATTTCTGTTTGATTTTTTTATTATTATTTCGATCTTGTTAAATTTCTCTGATAAATTTCTGAATTGCTTTTCTGCGTTATCTTAGAGATCACTGAGTTTCCTTAAAACTGCTATTTTGAATTCTTGGTCAGAGACCTCGCAAACCAACATTTTATTAGGGTCAGTCACTGGATTTTTTCTTTGTCGTTTTGGGGAGGTCATGGTTCCCTGTTTGTTCTTGTTTCTTGTGGGCGTACATCTATGTCTTTGCATTGAAGGATTAGTTATTTATTCCAGTTTTCTTTGTCCAGCTTATTTTTATTGAATATATTTGCTAAGCAAATTTTTGCCACTAGGTTGCTGCCTTGTTTTCAGCTCTAGATAGTGCCTTAAGCCGAGGTTCACGTTGGCTCTAGTAAATGGCTGGAGTGCTGCCTGTCCCGAATGGGGGAGGTCCCAAAGGGATTATCTGGGCAGTGTGGAAAGGCTGGGTAGGGGTATGTGCTCAGGGAACCTGCAGAATGTACCTCCTATAGCATGGGTGCTGCTGAACAGCCACTCTGATTTGGCATCTCCTTTGACCAAGTTTCCAGGGCTGGGGATGGTAGCCTCCCTCCTTTATCTCTGCCTGTCCTCAGGAATATCTCTCCCTTTGGACAGTCATGATGATTCCCATGGGCCAAGGCAACGATAAGTTTCCTGCCAGGGAGCTCAAGGAGGTGGGGAAGCTGGTTTACTACTTCAACTTCACTTTTTCCAGTGTAGAAACCATGGGTTGAGGGGAGAGTTCTCCCCTGCCCTTAGTGCCAGGCGGGGAGGTGGGGCAAGGGTGGGAAGGAAGATGTGTTGCCAATATGGAAGTCTGAGTTTCCTACCGTCTTCTCAGAGTTTTCCCACTTCTCTGTAGCCCCGGAAACTGCATCATCCTCATACTTGAGCTCTGGGTTGTTGCTGGTGAAAATCTAGGCACTGTGTATCTGTTTTTCATTTTCTACTGGGGAGAGTGAGGCTGGTTTGCCCCTAGGCCGCCATCTTGGAATCCCAAATTGCTCTATGTAAAAAGAGTACAGTCAGCCCTCCATATCTATGGGTTCTACATCTGTGGATTCAACCAACTATGGATCAGAGATAATCGGGGGAAAAAACAATTGTGTCTTTACTAAACATGTACAGA